GCCGGCGGCCACCCGGCACGCGGCGGGCCTCGGGACGGTTCGCGGCCCGGCCCCGCGCCGGGGAGCGGTGGCGGCAGTGGCTGCGGCAGCAGGTAAGTGCTCTGCCGGGGCCGGGAGGTCTCCCCCGAGGCCGCCCTGTGCCGGTGGGCCGGCGGCCGGGCGGTGCCGGGCCGGGAACCTGGGGGTCCGCAACTTTGCGCGGGAAGTTTCCCTGCCCGGGTCCGGTTTCTGCGGAGCCGTCGGCGCCGAGGGGCCGGCTCGCAGTCCGGCTCCCGTAGCAGGCCGCCCGTTTCCCTGGACACTCGTGCTCTGTGTCGCCCCCAGGCTGCCTCCTGGAGCGGGGCCGTCGGAGACTGCATGGAGACCCCGCAGAGAAGACTTCCTCCAGGTGAGCGGGGGTCGGTGGCCGCCGGCTCCCGGTGACTTGGAGCTTTCCCTGCGGCGACCGCACGCGCCGAGATGGGGAATCCAGGTCTGCCGCTGCCCGCAGAGTGAGCGGCAGGCAACGGACTGAGGGCTGCCCCGCAAAAGATGGACCCCTGTGAAGATCTGGAAAGGTCCAGCCATAAGTCTCTGGACTCCAGGGAGACCGGGCCTCCGGAACTTGAAGGACCACGGGCCTGCGACCCTGAGGCCCTGGGGAAAGGACACGAGGAGATGTGGAGCCAGAAGTACCACCTGCAGAGCCCACGCGCGGAGAGCAGCAACAGGTGACACACCGTGATTCTTGCGTCGTTGTTCCTCGGGGAAGGAGGGCTGAAACCCTTGTATTCCTTTGTTTGTGAGCCTAGGAGAAGGTTTAGGGGGATACTGGACGACTCCGGATGAAACACGTTGGGAAACTGAAGAATTCCCGAAGAGAACCACGCCTATGGAAGGAGTGGTTAAGGACTTAGCTGGAGTGGGGGCTCAAGTGGGAATGAGAAAGAACAGAGAATATTTGATGATCACCCCCTTGTTTCTTGGGCTGGGATCCCACACCTGTCAAACCAGAAACAGACCCATGAACTAAATGAGTTGATCCGTGGTGAGCACTTAGAAAGTTGCTGGGCACCTCGCATGCCGTGCAGTGGACTAACTTTGGCTGTTCTTGTCATCCAAAGCCTGAGTTGAGTTTTGTTTTTTAATCTTCCAGTGAATGGCAAAATCGAAACAGAGTTTCCGAAGAGCTTATGATGGTTGTCCAAGAAATGAAAAAATATTTCCCATCAGAGAGACCCAATAAGCCGAGCACTCTAGATGCCCTCAACTATGCCCTTCGTTGTGTACACATGTGCAAGGTAAAACGAGCCGGAGGGAAAGTCCAGTGGTGCAAGTACATCATTTTGCTAGTAAACCTCAGCCGAGCAGGAAGAGTTGTCAGTGTGGTTCTAGTCCCTGAAATGTTTTGAGCTTTTTATGGTGCTGGATGGGTGAGGAGGAAGTCTACACTGATTCTAGTAGCGTGGTAGGTGTGCAAATTAGGAACATCAGGAGAAGGAACCTTTTTTTTTTTTTTTTAATTTTTTTTTTCAACGTTTATTTATTTTTGGGACAGAGAGAGACAGAGCATGAACGGGGGAGGGGCAGAGAGAGAGGGAGACACAGAATCGGAAACAGGCTCCAGGCTCTGAGCCATCAGCCCAGAGCCTGACGCGGGGCTCGAACTCCCGGACCGCGAGATCGTGACCTGGCTGAAGTCGGACGCTTAACCGACTGCGCCACCCAGGCGCCCCAGGAACCTTTTTTTTGTAATGGTTTAGGAACTGCTGTTTCGTGCCTGTGCCATATTTTGTGATTTGCTGCAGGAGAGTACACTTGGGCACATTTTAAAGACTCACTTTAAAAAAGATGTTTTTTAATGTTAATTTATTTTTGAGAGAATGAGAGAGACAGAGTATGAGCAGGGGAGGGGCAGAGAGGGAGACACACAGAATCGGAAGCCAGCTCCAGGCTCCGAGCTGTCAGCACAGAGCCTGATGTGGGGCTCGAACCCTCAAACCGTGAAACCATGACTTGAGCCGAAGTCGGACGCTGAACTGACTGAGCCACCCAGGCGCCCCTGAAGACTCACTTTTTAAAGAATCATTGTCTTCTGGGGTGTCTGGGTGGCTCAGTCGGTCCAGCATCTGACTTCGGCTCAGATCATGCTCTCGCGGTTTGTGGGTTTGAGCCCCGCGTCAGGCCCTGTCTGTGCTGATAGCTCGGAGCCTGGAGCCTGCTTCGGATTCTGTGTCTCCTCCCCTTTCTGCCCCTCCCATGCTCATGCTCTCTGTGTGTCTCTCAATAATAAATAAAAGTTAAAACTACTTTCTGTGAAACATTAAAAAAAAAAAAATCATTGTCTTCTAAGGTTATTGGGGAAAAAATACATTTGAGAAAATGCAGTTCCCCATTCGCTGTCATCTACATACTGTTCCGGTGCCTTCATGATATATCAGGAATCTACCAAATTAAAAATGAACAATTATAGGGGCGCCTGGGTGGCGCAGTCGGTTAAGCGTCCTACTTCAGCCAGGTCACGATCTCACGGTCCGTGAGTTCGAGCCCCGCGTCGGGCTCTGGGCTGATGGCTCAGAGCCTGGAGCCTGTTTCCGATTCTGTGTCTCCCTCTCTCTCTGCCCCTCCCCCGTTCATGCTCTGTCTCTCTCTGTCCCAAAAATAAATAAAGGTTGAAAAAAAAAAATTAAAAAAAAAAAAAATGAACAATTACAAACACCTTTTCCTTTTTATCTCTGACTTTTCGTTTGCAGGGATTTCATAAAGTACACATTTTCATTAGCATAAATCTCTGCGACTTCGTGTAGGACACACAGTTCTTGAGTACTGAAGTAATGTTTCTGCCATAAACATGTCACATGTATGTGTTCGAAATTTTTGGTTTTAGTACCTTCAATGGGTCCTGTTCCTCGCAATGTGGAACATCAAAAAATCCTGAAACTCCAAGGCTTAGGTTTGTACAACTGTCAGTATTTTAGGTGCAGATGATGCTGTGGTTTTGAGGAAAACACGCTGAGGTGTTCTCATCCTGAAAAACGAGCCAACTTGAACAGTAGTGAAACTTCCTTCCTGAAGATACTGTTGTCACTGGACTGCCTCTTTATTTTCTTGTGTTTCTTAGCAAATAGTGAGTTTTTCCAGATTCTCTGTCCAGATGGAGCACCTCGAGCAAATGTGACCACGTACAGTCTTGAGGAACTGAGCACGGTTGCTTCAGAACACGCTTCCAAAAACACAGTAAGGATTCCCAAGTTTTGCCGTATCAACCAGGGTGATTTTTCCTGACGACTTTATCTAGATGTAGATTTTTAAACCTGATAATTTGGAGTTGCAGAAACCACAATTTGAGGCTAGAAAGTAGATTACCATGGAGGTGTTGTGTAGCATACGGCCCTCGCCAGAGCCTGGACCTAAAACCAGGAGGCAGCACGCGAGCGGTGGTTCTCTGTGCTTTGGTTCTCAGGTGCCCCAACATCCTGAGCTTCCCTGAGTTTTCTGAAATTAAGAGGAAAAAAATAAACTGCAGAGCGGTTGCCCTCATTTTATTCTAAGCCCCGAATTGTTAATTTGTATTTATAACATTCTTAGTTCCAATACCTACTACGTTAAGTTGTAACAGCTGGATTTTATAGAACAGTTCAGTTGAGATGCTGTCATTTTTTGGGTAACGTTTGGAAGAGACATTTACTGTATCTGTTTTGAATCTCTTCACGTTGACTGAGTAATTCAACCGCATCCTTTACTGACGCGATGGAGATTACTTACTTAATTTTTAATTCAAGTCATGTTTAGACTTCAGCGCGATTGTAACGTAATGATTTTGTCCTGTCAGAACATGAGCTGTGCTAAAACCACAGTAGCTTTTGTTTCACTGACCGAGGTGTTTATGGTACTGCTGCGGGTGTGGCCGAGATGTGAGACACACTGAAAAGTTTAAGAAAACATTTCCCCTTTAAGATCTCCAAAATAAAGCCAGACAGGAAGGCATGCCGGTGCTAGAATTGCAGACACAAACCGTGGCCCGTTATAAACGTTCCAGATGTCCGATGGGACAAATCAGAGAAGTTATTCTTCTCTACTGACGGTGTCTCGAGGGAGGGGAATCTCGAGCCTGGTCCTAAAGCCTAGAGTTCTGTGTTGGTGAAGAGAGGACAGTCCCCCTTGTTTGCAAATGAGAAGGAGTCAGAAGCAGACGCGCCACATGCACGCTTAGTAGACATAGGAGGAGCTGGTGTATCCTTTGGTATAGAAATCAGACCTTCAGGAGGTAAAATGCAGGTTCTACGGTGATGGCTAAGCTGTATATTGGAGAATTACACGGCCATTGTGGGACATGTGTGCGTGTTTTAAGCTTTTGATCACGTTAGAAGTCTAGAAGTTTAGCTTTCAGGGAACATTGCTGCAAGGATCTCAGTGTTGGCATTCATCTCCAATGTTTTTTATAGGATACCTTTGTGGCAGTGTTTTCATTTCTGTCTGGAAGGTTAGTGCACGTTTCTGAACAGGCCACTTCGATCCTGAACTGTAAGAAGGATTTCTTGGAGTCCTCGCACTTTGTTGAACTGCTCGCCCCTCAAGATGTGAGGGTGTCCTGTGCACACACTGTCCACGCTCAGCTTCCCTTCTGGAACAGCTGGACCCAAAGAGGTAACGAGACCGATGCTCAGGTGTTTATCTTGCCTCGTAAAGATCAGTTTCATTCTTTGAGAGATAGGACCAAAATTGACACATTATTTTGAATCTGCAAACTGTATGGTTTTTCTTACCTCTTTATTTTAAAAAGTCAGAATGTGGAGTGCCTGGCTGACTCTGTCAGAGGAGCACGCAACTCTTAATCTCAGGGTCGTGAGTTCAAGGCCCACGTTAGGCATAGGGATTACTAAAAATAAGTAAAACTTAAAAAAAAATTAAAAAGTAAATAAAAAGTCAATGTGACGAAAACAGCACTTTAAATGCTTCTCATGACAAAAAGTTCCAATCAATATGCTGTCATTTAGTCAAGCTGATTAACTACGTAGGTTATATATCATACACATGGTGTGATAGCCTGCGTAACTCAATAGCAGGTTAATTGTTATGAAGACTCTGTTCCCTCTAAGTTAATAAAATTAAATGTTTTTTTCTCTTAAATTGACTTCATTATTTCTTTGCTTTGTTTGGAGATAAACTTCTCATGGCCGGCTCCCATTCTAGTTTTGCTTCCCCCTAAAAGTTCACAAATCTCATTGCTTTGTTTTCCTTCTGAAATGCTTATTTGCCTGAACCTGGGATGCCTGTTCACAGTTTCCTCTGTGGCATTCAGTCCTGTGTGCTTTTTAAAATAAGTCGTTACTTCTTTTTACAGCCACCCGTTATTACTTATTTCATATCCTTTGTTAGTGTATCTCAAAGAGCATGGTATATAGATCAACTTTTTCCTCTTGGTTCCAAGCCTTTTCCTCCATTTTTTTTTATTTAAATCTGATTTATCATGGTAAAAAAAAATAGCACAATTTACCATCTTACCATTTTTAAGTGTGCAGTTTCATAGCATTAGGTACGTTGGCATGGTTGTGAAACACACGTCCAGAACGTTCTCATCTTGCAAAACTAGGACTCTGTGCCCATTCCGATTTTTTAGTGCACACGTGGCCTAGTGGAGAACAGTCTTGCACTTACAGGCTCCTTTTTCCAGTGACAGACCTTTGCCCCATCTTTTGTGTACAGTTTGTGTAAGCTTCAGGACACACACCTGTCTTCCTCATTTCCTGTCACTCGAAAATGTGGATTTCATTTCTGTTCCTCTTTCGTGAACACGTATTTTCAACCTTTAATTGTCCACCTTTGTTTCTCTGCTTTGAGTGCTCATTCACCCACTCCGCGAACATGTATTCAACAAACACTGTGGGCCGGGAGGATGCAGGGTGTTGACACACAGCTGTGAACAGAGCAGGTGTAGGGCACTGTGTGCCAGTCCTCCCACTTACCGATGCCACTCCTCCAACTGGCCTCTCCAGTCTCTGTTCTTTTCAACCATGTTATCTTTGCGTAATACTTGCTGCTGTGCTATTTCCCCTCCGTGTGAAAACATAAATATGCCCTGAAATCGTCTTTTGGATCTAAAAGTTGGCTTCCTCCATGGAGAGACGGTGCCCATCTCAGTGACTAGCCACACGGTGCTGTGCCCCACACGCCCAAGCGATTCCAACCCTTCTTGGGCCATTTCTGGGCTGGGCCTGTGTTGCCGCCTCCTGTCCCCTCCTGGATCTCCTAGAACGTTAAGGGGACAGAGGAAGCTATCAACTCAGCCGTCGTCCGCTTTTGGCCTGGCCTCTGAGCACATCCCCACTTTGGTTTGTCGCGCGGCCCTCACAGAAGGCTCTGACCGCTGTTCCTTCAGCGCACGCTTCCAAAAGCAAGAATTCACTGTGACAGCCGAGGTGTGGAAGTGATAACGGGCTCACATCTACTACCTGAGATCCTACAGTCGGGCTCTGTGTCCTACGTGACCCCTAGAGAATGCAGTTACGTTCAGGTGCCTGGTGTTCCATATACGTAGTGCAAACAAATCTGCCCTCTGGTAGAGTTCCAGTATTTCCCGTGTGTAAAGAATTTTAAGCAAAGAATCGGAAGGTCTGAGCTTTAAATTGAGTCCTGTCCCTTCGTGAACTGTGGAGGCCGGCTAGCTTCTCCCCTTGAAATGCTAGTTTCCTGGCAGCCTGTTAACTGACACAGGGCTGCCAGGAGACGCGAGCTCGCCCATGGTGGGGAAGGCAGCAGGTATTTGGAATATTCCGCAGCATGAGGGGATCATCCTCATTGCTACCATCTATGGAAAGGGGCTCTTCTTCATGTTTCAGTGGGTTAACTAATTTAATCTCCACAAAAACCTTATGAGGTGTAGACACGGTCATTGTCCTCACTTGACAGGTAAGCTAACTGTGTTAGTTTGGGTCTGCTGGAAAGTAAACGTCAGGGCGGGGTCAGCTGTGTAAGAGACTCGCTGGGGGAGGGCGTGGGAGGAGGGGAGCGCTGCCCTCAGCCCACAGCGCTCCTCTGACACCCGTGGAAAGAGCGGGAACAAGGACTGGGGAGGAGGAGGCTTGGCCAGGCAGTCAAAGGCAAGTCCAAGGCACAGGCACACGCCGGAGGAGCCGTGCGTCTCCGTGGACTGGTCCTGCCTCGGTCTCGCTCTGTGTGCAGGCGCTGGCTGGGAGCGGACATCGGATACGGGGCCCCGGGGACAGCAGCTGTGGCCTGTGGTCAGTTCTGTCCCCTGATGCCGGAAGCCGCTCCCCTTCTTGGCCACTACAGTCATGGAGACACAGAGCTAAGTGACTCACCTGAGGTCACCCTGCCAGTAAGCGTGGGGCCACGTTTCTCCTTGGCGGTGTGAATCCAGAGTCCGTGCTCTGAACCACTGCCCCTCCTGACTGCCGAGTCCCTGTGGCTGTAACTTTAAAACAGGAGGTCTGGGGGTGTGCCTAGGTGGCTCAGTCAGTTAAGTGTCCCGACTCCTGATTTCAGTCCAGGTCATGGTCGTTAGATTGAGCCCCCACATCAGGCTCCAGGCTGACAGTGTGGAGCCTGCTTGGGATTCTCTCTCTCTCTCTCTCTCTCTCTCTCTCTCTCTATCCGCCCCCACTCTCCCTCTCTCTGCCCCCCCACCCGCTTGCACTCCATCTCTGTCAAATAAATAAAACATGAAAAATAAAATGAGATCTATAATCACACAAAAATGGGCATTCGAAAGTGGCATTAAGGAATGAGTCCTGTTCATAGAAATCATCTCAAAAAAATTGAGGATACTTTTGAAACATGCTTATCTTGCTGTAATTTCTCCATAAGTTCACCCGAGCCTTTGCTGAGGTAGTTTCTGTGGTAGGACCGTTAACATGTCTCAGAGGAATTAATTCAGTAAGCCTACCCGGTCAGCCCCCGCTCTCATTCTTTCTCACAGACGTGCTGTGAGAACAGTGTTCTGGTTTCAGAATTCCAGGACTGGAACTTTAATAGTTTTCTGAATTCTAATACTTTGATCATCCGTGCCTTTTTATTTTTTTTTTTGTTTTAAATTTTTTTTAAATTTTTTTTTCAACGTTTATTTATTTTTGGGACAGAGAGAGACAGAGCATGAACGGGGGAGGAGCAGAGAGAGAGGGAGACACAGAATGGGAAACAGGCTCCAGGCTCTGAGCCATCAGCCCAGAGCCTGATGCGGGGCTCGAACTCACGGACCGCGAGATCGTGACCTGGCTGAAGTCGGACGCTCAACCGACTGCGCCACCCAGGCGCCCCAAAATTTTTTTTAATGTTTATTTATTTTTGAAAGAGAGACAGAGTGAGAGGCAGAGGGTCAGAGAGAGGAGTCACAGAATCCGAAGCAGGCTCCAGGCTCCAAGCTGTCAGCACAGAGCCCGACACGGGGCTTGAACTCACGGAGTATAAGATCATGACCTGAGCTGAAGTCGGACACTTAACTGACTGAGCCACCCAGGCGCCCCTCATCTGTGCCTTTTTAAAAGGAGTTTGTGTGTGTGTGTGTATTTTTAATCAAGTACATCTTCATTGATCATTCAAAAGCCCATTTTCTGACTCTTCCTATATTCTTCTGCTCAGAAGTGCAAAGATCTGGACCATTTTCAGTATTTTGGTTTCCTCTCTCTCTCTTTTTTTAGAGAAGAGAGAAGGAGCACAAGGGGAGAAGAGGGAGAGGGAAAGAGAGAGAATCCTAAGCAGGCTCTACACTCAGCACGGAGCCCAGCGCAGGGCTCAAACCCACGACCCCGGGATCACAACCTGAGCCGAAATCAAGAGTCGAATGCTCAACCGACTGAGCCACCCAGGAGTCCCAGTATTTTGGTTCTTTAGAGCTCTCACTGTGTGTGCTCCTTCAGTGTATCTTTTTAAAACATCTTGGTTTTAAGCATTTCCTCTGTTCCTAGGAGTAAGGACTTTTCACCCCAGTGAGCGAATGTCCAAAAGATAAATTCAAGGAGCTGTAAGCAGAGGAGACGTAAATAGTCAGCAAACACCGGGGAGAAGGTTCAGCCCCTCGATCGAGGCAAACTTAGACGCTGCTGCACTACCACTTCACAAACCAATAAAATTCATGCAGAGAGCAATAAAATTGGTGCGATCATTGGCAGGCGTGAGGATTGTGAGAAAATGCCCTTAGAGACACTGGACCAACTTGTGTAGATCAGTGGGACAGTACACAGTGAGAGGCAGATGATCGTACCACTTGGCCCAGGGCCCCGACTTCGGGGACTTTATTCCAGGCAAGAAACAAGTGAAAGACACGTATGTGTCATACACCTAAATGCCGGAAGTTGTCGATGTCGACAATCCATGAGGTGTGTCCAGACTATTACAGTGAAATAGAGTTTTATCACCAAAGTAAATGTGTCACTGGATTATTGCAGTGATATCGGAGAGATGAGCACGGGCAGTTTCAGCGATAGAGGATGCACCCCGGGAAGCAGTAAGGGACAGACCTCAGTCCAGCGCCCTCAGTCTGAGAGCCACTGCTAGAATAGGAAAGCCCCTGGAAGATCCTGGATGTGACTACATCTCAAGAGTATCTCCTCCTTTGTTTTTTTATAATGTTTATTTTTGAGAGAGGGAAAGAGTGTGCGTGAACATGGGAGGGGCAGAGGGAGAGGGGGACAGAGGGTCCAAAGCAGGCTCTGCACTGAGAGCAGTGAGCCGGATGCGGGGCTTGAACTCACAAACTCTGAAATCACAACCTCAGCCGAAGTCGGACACTCAATCAACTGAGCCACCAGGAGCCCCAAGAGTATCTCCTTTGAAAGAATCATTTATTGTCTGGGGATAGTTCAAGTTTGTCTCACCAAGGAGGGGCTGCTCTGCCCTGTTGCTCTGGGAGGGGGTGAGTAACACTTGGTCTTTATTTCCCGCAGCATCTCAGTACGAATTCGCTCCGGTGAAATCCTTTTTCTGCAGGATCCGGTAAGTCTCGGGGCTTGTGGGGGCCGGGAATGGTGGGTTATGTTCTGATTTTATTTGGTACTTTTTAGATTCTTCCGGATTCATCTAGGACTCCGATCTTGCCATCAGAAGTTTGTATTTTGTTTATTTTTTTAGTGTGAGAGAGAACAAGTGGGGGAGAGGGAGAGAGAGAATCCTAACTCAGCAGGCTCCATGCCGAGCACAGAACTCAACACACGGGGCTCGATCTCACAACCCTGAGATGATGACCGGAGCCAAAATCAAGAGTCAGATGCTTAACCAGCTGAGCTATCCAGGCACCCCAAGAAGTTTGTATTTTGATTGGGAAGAGACATACATTCACAAAATGCCTACCTACATAAAACTGCAATCAGGAAAAAGGGCAAAAAGATTCTTGTTAGCCAGTGATGCAGGGAGGGGCATTCTCTCTCTCTCTCTCTCTCTCTCTCTGAACCACTGGATGGTAAGTTAACTGTCAAATGGCCATTGTTTTAGGTTCTTTTGTTTTTGGTTTTTGGGTTTTTTGTTTTTTTGTTTTTTTTGTTTTTGTTTTTTTTTTTTTTTTTTTTTGCTTTTTGTCCTTTGGTCACATCTAAAATTAATTTTTGAAATTTCTGTGCCTCATGTGGGGCTTGAACTCACAACCCTGGGATCAGGAGTCACATGCTCTACCGACTGAGCCAGTCAGGTGCCCTGAATTTTTGAAATTTTCAATAACTTTAAAGGAAGATAGATCTGTTCAAGGGAAGGATTTAAAATGTCCAGACATAGTGAACCAGAAGAAAACAGACCAAAATTTTAATAGTAGTTGATTTCTGGTAGGAGTCATTGGTGACTTTTACTATAATTTGTTCCTGTTACTTTGTCAATAAAAAGAAAACGTGTTTCAACGATGTTATGATTCCCAGTATTAGTACTAAAGTTCCTAAATGCTCCAGACGTGTGGAAAACTAAAGAGAACACGCCTTGTAATGGATTAGTAGGCCGCTCTGTGGGATTGGGGGAACTTGAGCTAATGGTATTCCGGTGCTTGGGGGAGCGATACCCCGGGGAAGGTGTGCAGGAGGGAGGGCTGTGTTGCTTCATTCAGTTCTTTACAGAGGAGTTCTTATGAAGAGCTTAGAACAGTGCTTACCACGTGGTAAGTGCTGTTTGTGTTTGTTTTATTAGTAAACATACCCGTGTGCCTTCTCTGAGCCAGGCGAGGCTACAGGTACAAAGTTCTTGCCCTCATGGACCTTACATTCTGTGTGTAGGGGGACCAATAATAAACAGGTGCCTGTGTATGTGTCAGCTGGCGGCAAGTTCCGTGTAGAACAGTGCAAGAGAGTAAGGGAATTCTGGGCAGTGCAGAGATTACTAGTGTTCTCAGGGGGGTCAAGGAATCTTCTCTAACGAGAAGCGTGATTGGAGCCAGAGTCTGAAGGAGGTGAGAGAGTGAGCCACACCTCTCTGAGAGAAGAGTGTTCCAGATAAGTGCAAAGGCCCTGGGGCGGAGCATGCTTGGCCTGTGGGCGGAGTGACAAGGAAGCTAATGCTGCTGGAGCACAGGAGGGGGTGAGCAGGAAGGACAGGAAGAAACAGGGAGCTTTGACTTCTGAAGGAAACGTTTTGTTCAGGTCTATCATTTATTTGAAAACTTTAGTTTTTGAATTTGCAAAATAAAGGGAAGTAGAGGAGAAAGGACAGTGGACCGGTACACACTTACCATTCCGCCTCGATAACTTTAACCCACGGCCAGTGGTTTGTCATCTCTGCCACCACCTGCTCCTCAGCCCGCCCTCCCCATGATTCTGAAGCAGAATCTCAGGTCGTGCGTCATTTCCTCCATTGGCATCTCAGAATGGGATCTAAAAGATAAGCTTCCCATTAATGTCTGTGGTGCTCAAATTGTCCCGTCTGTGGCCAGCCGGAGCCCCTTCGGGTTAGCTCTGGGGCCGTGTGAGGGCGCCCCTGTGGTCGGTGACAGCCTCCTTGGCTTCAGGGATGATGTCCCACCCAGCCTCTTCCCAGACATTTCCTGCCTCAGACACGGAGTCAGTTGTTTCTCCAAGGATCCTTCACTCCTCGTGCTGGGAAGTGGCATCACCATCCGGAGACCAACTCTGCATGGTGGGGGGGCGGGGAGGTTGCTAGGCTTATCATGGCTTCTAGGCATTCTCAGTTTCATCTTCCAGAAGGATGGTAATTGGTAATTGGTGTTAAAAAGGGACCGCGTTGGGCGCTGTGCTGGGGATGGCGTGGGCGCGACAGGCAGCAGGTGCACGGGGGGGAGGGGATGCGGAAGTGTCTTGGATATCGTGGATAGATTTGTATGGGAGAGTTACTGGAGTTTATCCACGGTCGAGGTTGGGGTGTGAAATAGAGGCTGAGTCGAGGTGGCGCAAGTGTCTTTGGCTCCAGTCGCCGTGTGCGGGGGCAAAGGAGACTAGGAAGGCAGCTTCCTGGAGCGGAGGGCAAGAGTACAAGTTAGGTTCGCCTTACCTGTTGGGAATCTGCCCGTGCTGTTGAGCAGGCGGGGTCCGTGAGTCTGGAGTTGCGGGAGAATTCCGGGCTAGAGGCAGGGACTCGGGTCGCCTGCGCACACAGAGCATCGCAAACCCCATGGCGGGGTGGGCCTGGGAGATGCACACACAGAAGTCGGAGGGAGCGGGAGACACAGGCTCAGCTCGTGGCTCAGGGTCCGGGGAAGGCCACCCTCTTCTCAGTGGCGGAAGCGGGTTCGTGGTGGAGAGTGGGGGCACTGGTGGAGGTGCCGGAGTCTGCAGAGAGGCGAATGAGCGAGGTGGGGGTGGGAGTGCGTGTGCACGTGGCCACGGACGGACGTGGAGCTTCTAGGCCACTACAGACTGTTTGACACCTATGTAAACGACGGTGGGAGAGGGGATGTGACTGGTAGAAACAAGGGAGTATGAATTCAGTTGTGGGCACACGGACACTAAGGGGACCGTCGTATCCAAGGAGAAGTGTCCTCTGGGCAGCTGGAGCTGTGAAACAGGGTGACAGTCTTGGAGTCGAGCCGCCCCGACCCAGGGAGGCGCCCCGCAGCGGGGGTTGGGGCTTGGCCAGCAGGTTGCAGCCCTGCTTTCTGGCTCAAGCAGGCACGTAAGGAGTGTTCAACCGCACACAGGGCCCTGCGCCCATCAGGTGTGGCTAAAGCAGTAAGACTGAGTCAGTCCCCTGAGAGATAGAGGAAGGGACGGTGAAGAACTGGCTTTGGGGGCACGATCACAAGGAACCCCGTTTTCTGTCATGTGGTACTTGGTTTAGACGCATGAGGTAAGATAGGTAGTTACACCTGTCCCTCTTGGAAGAAGCGGGAAGTCACATTGGGAAATTAGGGTTTGGCGGTCAGAAGGAAAGTTGCAGGATGGCTGGTTCCAGTTTTAACTCACTAAGCTGGTTCTCCATAAAGCCTCTTTTTTTTTTATAAGTTTATTTTATTTTGAGAGAAAGAGAGCTGGGGAGGGGCAGAGAGAGAAGAGAGAGACAGAGGTGCCACACTGTCAGCGCAGAACCTGATGTGGGGCTCGAACTCAACAAACCAAGAGATCATGACCTGAGCTAAAACCAAAAGTCAGATGCTTAACCCACTGAGCCACCCAGGCGGGCAGCTTTCCATAAGACCTCTTTATCTCTGAATAATGAATAAGTATAATTGCCTTTGGGTATTGAAAATATAAACTAATGTTTCTCTTCTCTTTCAAATAAACACGTTTAAACATTTTAGACTTGATCTGTCTGTCTCAGAAATTACCAATAAGACATTTCTCCTGCCTGGTTTCACGTTGGGCTAATTGAATGCGTGAGGACAGGCACTCATCATTTTTATTCTTTTCAGTGGAGGCGAAGTCCGAGAGCAAGAGAAGCGTTACTACCCATTCCGGATTATTCCCTATTTGATGCGTGTACATGTCTCTACCCAGCGGGAACCTGAGTCGTGCTGTCTCACCCTGGTGGAGAAAGTTTGCTCTGGTTATGAAGGTGAGTCCGGAGCGTCTGCTTTTAGATCAGACGTAACCTGTCAGCACATCAGGTGGGAACACGTGAAAGCCTGTTTACTGAGCTGTGGAACCAGAAAAGAGCTCTCAAGGCTTCAGCTTGGCCCCGAACTCTGTGGGCATCTGTAGCATATAGCAGATCTTCCCTGATGTGTATTTACTACCCTTGACTTCTTGCGTGCTTATCTCCTTCAAGGCAGCAGCACGGCCCAAGGGTCTAAGCACAGACTTGGCCACAGATATGTGATCCTCTGACCCTTTCTGTACTGGGGACTGTCCTATGGCCTTTTGCTTCTGCCCTGTGTGAAATAGCATAGAAAGTGTGGCACAGAAACATCACAAAAACGAATTTGTGTTTTTTAAGTGTTTTGAAATCCCTTGAGTAAAAACTATAGTTTATATCTTCTGATGGCAGAACTACATTTCTAAATTCATGCATTAGTACGGAAGTAGCTTACATTTATTATTTGCAATTACAGTCCGCTCTGCTGTAACCTGACATCTGCTTCCTTAAAAATTACTGTCCTGTGCAAAATAAACCCTAAACACACATGCACAAAACCACAGGGCTTATGGGAAAAATGGGTTTTAGGGGCACAACACTCAAAACACTTAACTGCACATTAAAAATAAGACACGAATCTAATAAAAACAGTAACGGTTTTACACATTAAATGGTTAAGAAATACACAGTCGCTGCAGTAAATATGGCACCTCACCTTGAAAAAGCCCCGCGATGGCTTGTGGCTGTGGGTGTTGGCACCTGCCGCGGCTCCTGAGTTACTGTGGAAGGAGGGGGGTGGAAGGAAGGTTGTCTGAAGTCAGATGTGGACGGGCATGGCTCGTAACACACAGCACACAGAGGTAGCCATAGGTGTTTGAGGGGTGTGCGTGTGTTTGTGTATTCGTGGGTGACTCTGTTCACCTCTCGTGTCTTGCAAATGAAATTGTGCGTGATTTCAAATCACTCCACTTGCAAAATGAATTACAGCGGAATTGGCCACACCAATTATATTACATAGATTTGAAATCTCCGAATCACGCCGACACCAAATCCAGGGTGCTCAGTTACACACAACCACCAAATACAACCATGCTTTCTAGTCCTGACCTTTAATTTCCCCTTGCTTTGACTGTTGGATTATTTGTGGTGAGTAAGCTTTTCGTGTACACAAATTACTTAAAATTAACTTTAGGAGGGCGCCTGGGTGGCTCAGTCAGTTGAGCATTCAACTTGGGCTCAGACCCTGATCTCACGGTTTGTGCGTTTAAGCCCCGCGTCGGGCTCTGTGCTGACAGCTCAGAGCCTGGAGCCTGCTTCGGATTCTGTGTCTCCCTCTCTCTCTGCCCCTCCCCCACTCATGCTCTGTCTCTCAAAAATGAATAAACATTAAAAAAAATAAAAAGTTAAATTAACTTTAGGGGCACCTGAGTGGCTCAGTCAGTTAAGCTTCTGATTCTTGATCTCAGCTCAGGTTTTGATCTCAGGGTCGTGAGTTTGAGCCCTGCATTGGGCTCTGCACTGGGTGGGAAGCCTTAAAAAAAGAAAGAAAGAAAATTAAATTAACTTTATTAGGCATTGCATTTTGACTTAATTAAAATGGAGTTAATGAATATTATAATTTAACTATAGCTTTGGCTACTTAAAAGCCAGGCGCCCTAAGTGACATTTCTATCATTTCATATAGAGATATTGTTTCCTTTTTAATGTAAGTGGTTAGTTAAGTAAATGACTAATTAGATATTTGCCTTTAGGTGAGTCTTTCTGTTTTTCATAGCTCCTCGAATCCCGATGGATAAAATAATTTTTACCACAACACACACCCCAGGGTGTGTTTTTCTTGAAAGGTAAGTACTTCATGGGGCGCCTGGGTGGCGCAGTCGGTTAAGCGTCCGACTTCAGCCAGGTCACGATCTCGCGGTCCGTGAGTTCGAGCCCCGCGTCAGGCTCTGGGCTGATGGCTCAGAGCCTGGAGCCTGTTTCCGATTCTGTGTCTCCCTCTCTCTGCCCCTCGCCCGTTCATGCTCTGTCTCTCTCTGTCCCAAAAATAAATAAACGTTGAAAAAAAAAAAAAAGAAAAAAGAAAGGTAAGTACTTCTTTAGGCCTGAAAGACATTTGTTTCTGAAAGTAGAGAAAAATGTGAGAACATTTACATTATGTTTACATACTTCTACATTATGTAACAGACATCTATCCATTTGCCCATTTGATTTCTGTTAGTTTGCAGTTTATTTTTAATATAAGTAGTTTGCATATTCTACTTCTCAGATTTAAATTTGATTTCAGATTTATGTTTGATTTCACAATAGTCTGCTTTAGGTAAGTCAGGACTTAATTATCGTTCTATTTCACACAAGAGGACAATGAACCTGGCCACATAGTATGTGATGTGTTTGAAATGAGACCAAAACTCTGGCCTCCTACTTCCTGTGCCAAAGTGATTTCCACCAGACAAGGGCTTCCCCAACCAGGCTTTGATGAAATGTTTATTAGTCTGAAGTGAGGGGGGAAGCAAAGGAAAAATAAGAACAGGTTTTGTTTTGTTTTGTTTTTTTTTGGTAAAGGTAAGTTTATTTAATTTAAAACATTATTACTTATTTTGAACTTACGTCCTTTCTACTTTTTTGGTATTAAAAGAGTCTTAAAGAAGAGTGATAGTAGATAGTAGTTGTTCCTTATTATTGTTTTTTAAATAAATTGATTTGGAAAAAGAAACATTGTTATCCCCTGATGAGTACCCTCTGTTTTCCCCCACATTTATTTTTAAATTTTACTTATTCACGAAATGTGAAAATCTGGGGATCAGTGCACCACGGCACACGTAAGCGTAGAGCAAAAGAGTCAGAAAAGCTGGCACGGTTATGATAGTTATTCGTTTTGATTTTTAAAAAATCTTAACATCTGAAAATAGGCTTATTTAATAGTAGACAGCCTGAAACTAAACAATAACAGCGAAATACTCCGTATAATGTCATCTGTAGAAAGTAAGAACATTTAGCTGGAGATATTTAACGGTTTACATTTATTGCATGAGAAAGTATTTGTGCATTTGTACACACAGAAAACATTTATGGGGTCGGGTCTTCCTAAGTCATCCTGAAGACTTTGAATTCACAGCTTTCCCATGAACCTGCATCCCGCCCACGTTTCTGCGTGCCGGTTGTCTGTCTGTCATCACCTTCTAGGCGACATTGCTTATGTACAGTCTTAACCATGCCGTGTAAATTTGTAGCCCCCCCATTCATTTGACATCATAAACATTTTTCTGCATTATGGTGTGATCTTTGTAAACTTTTTTTAAGGAGGGGGGCATCAGAGACCCCCGAGGAACTTGCTAAAAATGCGGATTCCTGGTCTTACTCCAGCAGCCCTGACTTAGCCTGTGGTGAGCCTGTGAATCGTCTTGTAGCAAGTTCCGCGGGTGATTTTGATGCACTCTGTCTGATGACCAGCATTTCTTAGATTGTGTAACCATTTCCCCAGCGTGGGCACTAGGGTGGTTTGCTCTTATAAATGCGGTAATGACATCTTCCGCGTACCTGTTTTTTCTTTCGTATTTAGAATTAAGTAAAAAAGTATTTTTAAAAGTGTATAAAGTATGAAAATTGCTTGCTGTGTGTAACATGCTGCCCGTGCTGTGTGTGTCCCCAGAGCGGTGTCTCTGCCGGGTTACCTACCTCAGGATCTGCTAGGGACATCCATCTTGGCGTACGTGCACCCCGAAGACCGTTCTCTCATGGTTGCCATACACCAAAAAGGTAAGGGCCTGCTTCTTTTTTTTTTTTTTTTTTTAATTTTTTTTTTTCAACGTTTATTTTTATTTTGGGACAGAGAGAGACAGAGCATGAACGGGGGAGGGGCAGAGAGAGAGGGAGACACAGAATCGGAAACAGGCTCCAGGCTCTGAGCCCTCAGCCCAGAGCCTGACGCGGGGCTCGAACTCACGGACCGCGAGATCGTGACCTGGCCGAAGTCGGACGCTTAACCGACTGCGCCACCCAGGCGCCCCAAGGGCCTGCTTCTTTACAGGAGCAACCGCTCATCTGCTCCGACTCTCCATTTCATTTCATGTTAGAGCTCCTCTTAAGGTCTAATCACTACAGCTCACCCTTCAACAGGTAAGCAGTGTGTTGAAGCTGCCAAAACAGTTTCTTCTCTATTTGGACATTCCGAAAACCTCACTAAATGCCTGGGAACAGCCATTTGCAATAAATACCTGCGTTAAATAAATTCTAATCTCGTCGTATTCTCTTATTTAGTCTTGAAGTATGCAGGCCACCCTCCCTTTGAACACTCACCCATTCGATTCCGTACCCAAAATGGAGATTACGTCATATTGGACTCCAGCTGGTCCAGCTTCATGAACCCGTGGAGCCAGAAGGTTTCTTTCATCATCGGTCGGCATAAAGTTTGAACGTAAGTCCATCAGTGTTGGTGTTTATAGAAGGACTTTTTTTTACCAAATAATATTCTTCCATCCACTGACACCCTTTGAATCAATTGACACATAAACCGAATAAAGCACAGAATGTTTTTAAAGTGCTTTTGGAATACAGTGTGGCAGTACGTGTCAAGAGCCTTAAAAGATTTCTACCACTTTGACCTCATGATTCCCTTATGGGAACAGTCTAAGGGAACATGCCTAAATACAGAAAAGCTTTACAAAGAAAAGACATCTTTTGCACCATTGTTCAATCATAATGACAGACTTAGAGCAGCTTATATGCCCATCATTAAGAAAGTTCTGGAATATTTGACATGTTGTATTATTGGTCAATACAAATTTTTGCAAAGATTATATAACATGAGAAATTGATAATAGATTAGACTTAAAAAGCAGCATACAAAATTGCTGATGCCCTATGGTCATAACATGTTCAAAAGACACACAAACATTGTAAAACAGGAAAAAGAAGAAGAAAGGTAATACATTAAAATACAGATTTTGGCTATGTGTAAGGTAATGGGGAGATAAGGGTTTTTTTTTTTTTTTCTCTTCTGAATTTTAAAGTTCTCTTTACTGAGTGTGTAAAAACTTTTTGTATCGGCTTCTGCTGTCAAATTCCACTTATTTGTGTCCATTTTATCAAATCTTTTTTTTTTTAAGTTTATTTATTTTAAGAGAGAGAGTGTGTGTGTGGGAGGGGCAGAGAGAGAGGGGGAGACAGAGGATCCCAAGCAGGCTCTGCACTGTCAGCACAGAGCCTGATGTGGGGCTTGAACTCACGAACCGCGAGATCATGACTTGAGCCTAAATCAAGAGTCAGACGCTAAACCCACTGAGCCACCCTGGCGCCCCTCAAATCTTTATTTTTTAAAAAATTCGATGCTTTTTAGTTTTTATTTTCCTGCCCAGCACGGCTGACTCAAGCCTCTTTGATGGCTGCCGCTCGTCCGTGTGACAGGACCTTGTGAAATAGACCTGAAACAACCTGGCCCGCCATTCCTGTCCCCTAAAATACTCCGAGCCCCTTGACTTTTTGGCTTAAAATTTAAAACTGACCTGCAAGTTTCTCAGCTGGGCCGTAGGCTCTTCACAAAGACCGTGAAGTCTTTGTTTTTGAAGCACGGAAATTATACTTAACTCTTCAGGATCCTGCTGAGATTGAGAAATTAATTCTGTCTTCTGTGTTTTGTTGTACAGCTTTGTGCACATGAGCACAAAACTGGGAGCAGTAGGTCTGCCGGTAAGACTTACTTTGGCATGTCTTCATACTGTAATAGAGGGCACCTAGCCATGGCAGGAAGAGGTCCCAAGGTCCTCCTGCGTCGGTGTACGTCTGGGTTCGGCCCTCAGCGGAGCAGATCTGGAACCCTAAGCAGAGAAGTGGGCTCCATGCCATCCTAACTCATGAGACCAAATTTGTGCTAGGGAGCTAGTGTAATAATTAGGATAAGAAATATGACTGCCCAGTAAGTGTTATTCACGTTGGTCAGAAAGGACATTTTTTTTTCCAGTAGGAAAACCTGTGGGGAAATGAAAATAAGCAGGTGGTTGCTTAGTATGACTGTGAGAAACCCCAGGGCAGGTATGATTGCTTTCATGAGACATCTGTCTGTCTACTGGTCTGCGTACCCTCCCTGTCAGTGCCAGAGCCACGTCCCAGATGCCCCAAGTGTCCTTTCAGTTTTTTTATTATTAACTGATACCCAAGTGCTCCCCACATCTGCAGATTAAAAAAAAAAAATTATACCTGTGTCTGCATCTCAGTTTTCAGAATTATGTAAGGGAAGTATTCAGAGTCTAATAAGTATTAATCTTGTAATATAATTGTAAGCTAATTGTCCATAGTGTTTATAAAATGATTTTAACAAGTGCTTAGGGATCCCTGGCTGTGTCAGACATCATGCTAGACCCTGAGAACGAGATGGTAAACCAGACAGACGTCCCCTCTACCATCACAGGGCCCCTAGCGTAGCAGGAGAGCCAGGATATGGAGGTGGCACGGTCACCTGTGAGCAGAGCTTTGGAGAGTGTGGCAGTTGAAGCAGGAAGTGGATAGTTAGCAGGGACCCTAACTGTCTGTGGGCAGGCAGGTTATGTGCTGTTTCCTCTCATTCTACACTTAAAATCCGTGTTTGGCGAAAGAGTAACCCTGGCAGAGGTCACTGAGGGGAGGAAGTTGCAAATGCAGACGAGAACCAGGTTTTCTCCCTGACTCCTCGTGTGCCTTCCTTCCATCCCTGGTGCTGCCCGGCATTTGCCGCTGCCCCACAAAGGCCCTGTCTCTGCAGCCTCCACATTAATCGTCTTGAGTTACATGATTAGTGATTGAACATACAACTTCCCTTTGTAGAAAGTTTCACCAACAGGAATACGTAAATCTCATAATACAAAGCAGTCTGCCCTATTTCCATTTTGGAATTTCACTTGAAAAATAAAACCCAAACATTTTTGGAAGGTATTCAAGCTTACAGTGGACGCATGCATTGATCACAAATCAGATGTACTTTATTCAACCAGCCTGCCCCTTCACTGACGTATTCCTGCTTGTACGTGCCAGGCACTGTTGGAGGCACTGGAGAGGTGAACAAAATTGGCCAGAGAGCCTCACCCCACAGTGCTCGTGTGGCAGTGGGAGGCACAGGCAACAGACCAATGGAGTGTCGCATACAGTGCGCCAGGCTGTGCGTTCCAGTACAGTTTGCCATTTACGTACCACATGCGCGATGCTGTGCGGATAGGCATTGGTTGGCACCATCCACGGTCTGTGCACCGAGGGAGTCGATGTTGTCGGGGCGGGGGGGGGGTGAGGTCTGGACAAAGAGGGAGGTGGTCTCCGGAGGCAGAGCTCTTCCTGACTGACGCTGCCAACATCCTGTGGTTTGTGGATAATTACTTCTGTCTTTGGGACAGCGTCTCAGTTTTTAGGGAATTGGGCTGTGTGTTTAAGTTGCGAGAAACAGTGGCTATGGCAGAATGGAAAAAGGAACGCGTTGACTTTGGAGTCAGGCATGCCGACTGGAACCCTGACTACTGCTTCTGCGTCAGGTGACTCAGCAAGGGTCCAGACCTGTCTGGCATCATGATGATTCCTGCTTTGTGGGGTCTGGAGGACTCAGGGGATACTTGCCTGACTCAGTAGATCGTATCAGTGGTACCTTAGTTACTCAGGTACCAAGAGGCAATACGCCACCGTAGCAAACGTGCACTCTGGAGCCCAGGCTCTGGTCCCTTTGTGAACACCTGCTTAGACTTCACCAGCCAGGTGACCTCGGGCAAGTTTTCAACTCTGGTGAAGGACGTAATACTTGCTAGAGCATCTGGAACGGTGCCAGATGCTGAGCACCGATGCTGGCGCGTCGGAAGGGCTTAGAAAATGTTATTCTTGCTGTGTGTTATAAAAGATACATAGAAGTCAGTTCCTGCATAGAAGTCAGTTCCTTCCCTTCTTCGCGATGATTTCTGCTGGCATTTCTGCCCCTGGCTGTGTTCAGGTAGTAGTTTTAAAAGGCTCTAGTATAAACAAGACTAAGGGTACCATGACAGCCACGTTTTCACCAATAGGTGGGTAGCAGAACCACCTTTATAACATAACTGAAGTGCTTGGGTACGTTAAACATTAAATGTTGTCTGGCAGACCTAGGGTCTTAAAATTCCTAGCATAGGTTATTCAGTTAATGTTGAATTTTGAAACCAGTAGCTGGTGAAGATACTTTGGTAGGTAGAGAGGTTACTCGTCACTGATTTTAGGTTTCTACAAATTCAGTGCTGACACAATTGTGGAAAGAAAGATTAGAGCTCTAGACAAGCCAGAGAAGCCTCTTAATGTCTCATTTGTTTCTTAGTATTTTCTCTGCCTCCATAAATGGAATTTTAGCTTTATATTTTCTGTTTGAAGTCAGAGAGTTGCTTTGTGTAAGTATAGATTTATTATTTGAACATTCTGTTTAAAGGTCGCCTTAGACATGGGGTGCCTGGGTAGCTTAGTTGGTTGAGTATCCAGCTTCTGCTCAGGTCATGATCTCACGGTTCGTGGGTTTGAGCCCCACATCGGGCTCTGTGCTGACAGCTCGGAGCCTGGAGCCTGCTTCCATTCTGTCTCCCTCTCTCTCTGCCCCTGAAAACATTAAAAAATTTTTCTTAATTTTAAAAATTAAAAAAAAATCACCTTAGACTTTATTGTAAATTCATTTTGAATTGCTTGACTCCATCTTTCACTTGGCACCTTGTAGGAGTCCACTGAATGAGGATGTTTTCGCGACCCAAATAAAAAAGACGAACCATAATGACAAAGATGTAACAGAATTGCAAGAACAAATTCACAAACTTCTCTTACAGGTAAAGTGAGATTTTAAAAAGCAAACACAAAATTTCCATAGTCGTGTTTTATTTTAACGTTTGCTCATAGTGAAGTCACTTCACAAAGGTACACCGCAAGGAGAGAAAAATCTTTACCGTCTGTGTTCCGGGAGTTTTTGTTTTCCTGGTTGTTTTTTAAATTCAGTTTTATTAATCTTGTTCCTGACTGAAACGCACAGAACATTCTTTTAAGATCCCATTCTAAGCAAATCGAGTCATAGTAGGCAGGTAAGACAAGGAAGCTATTTCTAAATGAGAACATCCTTCTTGTATTTCCAACACTAGCCATGTGCTCAACTTCTGGGATCTGCCGTATTTTTTTAAACAATAATTCTAATTGTAAAGGATGGGGGCAGAGGGATGGCAGGTCTCAGCATCTCTGGTTACTCCAAAACAAACGTGGCAAAAACTACTTCTTGAAAGCAGATGCCAAAAATGATTTCTACTGGAGACCCAACTAATAAGCTTGTGAAGCGTTGACTGATGTCACACAGAAAACCGTGCGCCCCATAAGCGTCTTTTGTAAAGTCTCTAGGGTTCGTGAAGTAAGTTCGTGGAAAAAAGTATGGTATTTAATTTGTTCTGTCTGTTCCAAACTCAGCATAAAGAACTACTAGAGTTGACTGTCCTATTTTGTGACCTCTCTTATAACCATGTGGCTTTCTAAAGACTTGTTCTAGAAATGTCCACCGGGCTAGAAAACTAGACTTTGCCCTTGAGAGTTACCGAACTTGAGAGGAATGTCTTTTTTGTCAGCCTCGGGCCGGAAGCATGGAGCTTCACACACCGCACGTAGGATTTCGGAAGCGTTCACCTTCGCGTTCGGTGATCTCAGACACACTCTCGGGTGCCAGCCGCTGTGCCTGTCCCCTGGCGGCCCGCACCCCATAACGCTGACACCCGGCCCCCTTTTCCAATTAGCCGGTTCACAAGAGCGCCTCCAACAGCTGTGGGATCCCGGGCGGCAGCACCTCGCAGGAGCAGCGCGTCGGGGGCGCGTCGTCTGGTGAGGCGGGCGGACCCCGCGCCGCGCAAGCGCACCGGGAGCCGGTACATGCGCCACGTCGCGTCTGCGCAGGCGCGCCCTCCACCCTCTGCGTCCTCGGAGCGCGTGTGCCCCGCTCCTGCACCTCAGCGCCTGTGACTTCCTGTTACAGATTCTGGACCTTACTCGATCGCAGACGCCCAGCTTACCCCATTTTGGTTTGAAACAATGGCTGTTAAAAGAAAATACCAGCTTTGTTAGGTGATATTTGGGTTTATTGTACGATTTCTAAAGATTACCATCTTGCGAATAGACGTGTGTAAAGCCTCATTTGTACTGGCCGTGCCGAGGCCCGGGGAGGAAAGTGAGTTAACGTGGTCACTGTGTTCTCAGCCGCCATGTCCTCAGAGAACCGGAAGTTACGTGTGTTTTGTTCATGTATCTTTTAATGTACATGTTTATAATTTCTGAAGCACCTTCTCTCATTCTTTTCCCTCAGCTGACTTTGCAGCAGGTCTCCGCCAGTCTAAACAAAATTAAGAATCTCGGTCAGCAGCTTTACATTGAGTCAATGGCCAAGTCACCAGATAAGCAAGTGACGGCGGTGTGCACAGGACGGCTTGGCGGTGAGTCAGCGGAGCAGCGCCCAGACCTCCTCCCACTGCTCTGCCCTCTCCTGGGGTGACGTGGGCGTGTGAGCAGAAAGCCACAGGCCGGTGCTGTCACCTTTCACCTTTCCTTGCCCGGGTGACAAGAGCAATAATGATAATGGGAGCAGCAAATACTGCTCGGGAAGCTAAATGGTATTAGAGTGTATTTCCGTGTATTTCCACTAAAGAATTAATGTTTTTGGTAACACCAGCAGATTCATAGATTCTTCCGAATAAGGTATCTATAAATCAAAAAAGTTAATTAAATTTTTTTTAATTTTTTTTTTTTGGGGGGGGGGGAGAGAGAAACAGCGCAAGTGGGGGAGGGGCAGAGAAAGGGAGACCAAGAATCTGGGAAGCAAGCTTTGGGATCTGAGCTGTCAGCACAGAGCCGGAAGCAGGGCTCCAACTCACGAACTGTGAGATCATGACCTTAGCCGAAGTCCCACCTTAACAGACTGAGCCACCCTGATGCCCCAAAAGAGTTAATTTTAGAGTATGTTTCAGATTTTAGAAAGTACATTAACATAATAATTCTGTCATTTAGAACAAATGAAGAATATTTATGACCTCAACTGAATGTAAAATTGGGGATTTTTTTTTTTAAATACATGTTTATGAGGTAAGGAATGTTCCTAAGGAATTGGATCAATCATGATGATTGACATTGTTTAGAAAAGTTAACCTACTGGCATTACATAGCAGAGGAAGGATCTGTGATATAACGTAGAGACCAAGTTTTATTAACTTTTTTAGTTTAGTTAGCTTTCCCTTCACTTGTCTTCCTGAATGTTAATATAACTTTGGAAGTCGTCATAGGTTTGGTCACCAGAATATTATTAATGGTCTCTATCCTTGTCAGATGTGGGTATTTACACAGTAGGGGTGAAATTTCTTCTCTAAAGTCAATAAGAATAAAAAATAATCATAGCTATATCCTTCAGTACTTGCCATGATTTACACAACAAAAACATCCAACCACTGCTCTTTCAGGTGGTATCACAGGGAGCCCTGAGGCTGCCCTCCCAATACAGCATGCCCAGTCCGTGGGTTTTTCTTGTTGCCTTGGTAGGAGGTTTAGCACTCTGCTTGTTTCTTTTGCTGTAGCTGTAAGGGCACGAGACAGAAACAACTTTTTTTGTCCCTTGAAACCATCAGATTTCCTACCTTAAGTATCTGACTTGCTGTATGTTATTATCCCATGTCCTAGCATTGGGACTTCTTTAGGGAGATTTGACGGCTAAAATTTGTACATTTTTTCTTTATTTAAAGAAAGTGGTCCACTTTGTGCTGCTCACTGCTGCTTAGGCCTAGGACCTCATGTTAGGGCCACAGTTTTTTGTCCTGACCTCTATATTTCTTGTCAGAGTGGAAATCCTTTCTTACCTTCTGCTTTGTTCAGTTTTGTATCACCCACCATTGGCCTGGAAGTGCCATCACTATCATGGTTTAAAGGCTGTATTCAAATTGTAGCTAATTCTGTGCATTTATGATGCTATTCTAGAAACTGACATTATCCTACTACTTAGCTATATGCTGTATTTGACTCTAACACACATAGGATGTGTCTTTTGGGTGAGAGGGAAGATCTGCCATTTGATAGAGCTTCGGAGAACTAATGTTACTTGGGCATCTTGATTTTATTAACATCTCAAGACCTACAAGTTTAAAGAGCTAGTAAAAAAATCTTTATTACAACTTACTGAAAAGAAACAAGTATGCAGCTTCAAGATAATCTTATAATTTAAATATTAGAAATTGAGTAGAAATAAGTCCAATCAAAAGGAAAATAGTAAGTAGTCATTGTGTACATAGCTTATGTACAGGGTGCCAGAGCCAACAAGAAGATAAGGTTTTAAGTTTATATTTTTACTTTTCTTATGAGGGCAGATTAGGCTTTGAAATAGAGGAAGATGGGAAATTTTCAAACGTTAATATGGAAAGCCAAGGACTAGCAAAGATATAAAGCCCTTTCATCAGCTTTATATACTGATGCCAGTTGCTAGAAGCAGCTGGAGAAATTGGGGAAAATGTTCCGGTTCTGGGGTGGTCGTGCTTGAGGGAGAGATCTTGATCGATGAACTGAACTCATTCAGGGTGAGCGTGCTTTGGTTTCTGCTCAGGGAGAGATGGAAAGAGCATCATTCCAAACTGAGAAGGAAAAAAGCCATATGGCAGCAAATTCATGAGCTTTCTTGAACATGTCAGAGTACTGAGGCTACGTGGCAACCAACAGGCCTAAAATCTAAGTGAGAAACGTGCTTGCAGGGAGAAGTGAGATCCAGCCCTGGATACTGATGCACTAGCTGACGGAACTGGTAACTCGCAAGAGACAGGCCTCCAAGGCATAGTACCAGGGGAAGACCACAGGCTGCAAGTGGAGCAGATATAGGAAAAAACCCAAAGCTCTCTTGCGCACCAGCCACCACGTAAGTACAAAATGTCACTAGAGGAATTGGAAAGCTATAACGACGTTGAATGGACCCATAGCAACGGCAGACCTTAGGCCTGGCCAACAAATTAGGTTAACTCGAACACAGACCCAGCAGAAGGAAAGGCATGCTAGTCTCCACTGTCCTACACAAGATACTCAGTTTTCAACATATGAAAAGGCAAGGAAAAAAACTCCCAAGAGATAAAGCAGCCATCTGAACAAGAGACGGATATGACACAGATGTTGGAACTACCCGACAGGGAATTTAATACATTAAAATCTATGGGACAGTGAGCAGCATGCAAAACCACATGGGTATCATAGCATAGAGATGGGACATAAAATAAAGGATCAAAAAGAAATACTAGAGTTGTAAATATGTCTTGGATGGGCACTCAACACACCCAAAAGAGGAATCCATAAACTTGAAGATCGATACGTACAGGTTATGTCAACTGAAACACAAAGAGAAAGAAACATGTAGAATAGAGCCTCTAAGAACCTTGAGGCACTATCAAATGATCTAACATAAGAGTAATGGAATCCCAGAAGAAATACTGGAAATAACGACCAAGAATTTTCCACAGATAAGAAGAACACCAAGTAGCATAGATACAAAAAATAACCAAATAAAAACCAATCACAAGATAAAAACACCACATACTTGGGAAAAAAATACACCATGTACTTGGAAATATCATATTCCAATTGCCAGAAACAAAAGCAAAGAGGATATCTTGAAGGTAGCTAGAGGAACATAGACTACGTACAGAAAAACAAGGATAAGAATTACAATAGGCATTTTTTTTAGATGCTGGGGACACTAGAAAACAAAATGTCTTAAGACAAAAAAATTGTTAGTGCAGAATTCCCTACGTGGTGGAAAGTATCTTTCAGAAATGAAGGAAATTGAAAGATTTCTTAAAAACTAGGCGGGGAGTGTATTGCCAGCAGATCTAGTCTATAAGAAACGCTATGGGAATTTCTAAAGGGGGAAGGAATATGGTACCGGACATAAAACTTGGATCTACACAAAGAAATGACAAGCACTGGAAATGGAGTTAATGAAGTTTTATTTTTTACATATTTTTAATTGCCCTGGAAGGTAACCAACTAACGCAAAAATACTCTTCTGCTTTTGTGGTCTATGTTAAAATACTGCAAAGGATTGGGGGAGGCACTGGAAATGTGCTGCTGTGGAGGCCTTACATCAGAAGCAATATATTATTTGGAGGTAGAAACTGATTTCTAAAAGATGTATGTTATGAAATTTAGAACAGCTATCAGAACTAGTTTCTAAAGAAGTAATAAATGTCATTTGACAAGATAAAGTGGAACTTAAAACATTTAAAGCAAAATGAGGCAGAAAAGAAACAAAAACCCAGATGGAACAAGTGGAAAACAGCTAGCAAAGTGGTACACTTTAATTCAACTATATCCATAATCACATGAAATGTGAATGGTCTCAATATACCAGCTAGAAGACTGACATTGTCAGTGGGTGAAAAAACGAGAAGCATCTGCGTAGTATCTACAAGAACTCATTTTGCAAATAAAAATATAGGTTATGAGCAAAAGGTTACAAAAGATTCACATGCTAACAGGAATAAAAAGAAAGCCGGAAAGCTGTATTAATATCAACTAATGTAGACTTTAGGATCATGAACTTTATCAGGGAGGGTTTCAGAGGGATATTGCATCACAACAAAGTGGTTGATTCTCTGAGAGCGTGTAACAGTCCTAAAAGGTTATGCACCTAACATCAGAGCTTCAAAATACACGAAGCAAAAACTGATAAAAACTTTGAGAAATAAACAAATCCTCAGTGGTAGAGACTGTAACAAACCTCTCTCTAATTGATAAAACAAGTGGACAGAAATTTAGCAAAAGTATAGAAGATCTGAACAACACCATCAAGAAGATTGGCTTGAACATGTATGGAACATTCCAACCAACAACAACATACTTATTTTTCTGAAGGGCACATGGACCATTCATCAAGATAGACCTTATTCTAGGCCATAATACAAACCTTAACAATTTAAAAAATATATAAATCATATTATGTATATTCTCTGACTTGATTAAACTAGAAATCAGTAACTGAAAGGTTTGTCTAGAAAATTCCCAAATGTTTGAAAATTAGAGAACACATATCTGAGTAACCTACAGGTCAAGGTCTTAAAGGGAAGTAAAATCATTTTGAAAGGAATGAATTGAAAAGACAACAAAAAAAATTGTGGAATGAAGCTAAAGCAGCGCTTAAAGGGAAATTGATATAGCATTGATTGTATAAGAAAAAGAAAAAAGGTCTCCACCAGTAATCTAAGCTTTCTCCTAAGAAACGAGAGCAAGAAGAGCAAATTAAATCCAAGGTAGGCAGAAAGAAGGAAATCTTTAAAACCAGGTGTCGATGGAATTGAAAATAGAAATAAGAGAAAATGAAATCAAAAGCTGATAAAAATAAAATTAATCTTTTGGCCATACTTAATCAGAAAAGACAGAAATGGCCAATATTGGGAATGAAAGATCACACGGATGT